AAAAAAAAAAAAAAAAAAAAAGTGAAATGCAGAAACAGCATGTATGCACTGCTATTTATGGGAGACAAACTATATATATACACATACATATGAATATGTATATATATAACTTACCCATGTATATATACACATACACACATATGGCGTATATTTGTAAATGCATAGGTTATCTGTGGAAGGCTATTCATGAAATTGCTAAAGGGTAGATAGCTAGCCTCCAAGGAGAGAAACAGGGCATTTAGGGATAGAAGAGTGGGGGAGTCTGACTTCATTTTCACTGTCTTACAGCTGTATCATTTAAATGTAATCTCTCTTAAAATATATATCTAAAAATAGATAGGATGTTTAAAATTAAAAGTAAAAAGAAGCAGGCCAGGTGAGAACCTTTGATGGAAGAAAGGTGCGGGAAGGAAGACTGCCCCAAACTGTTAAGCCCAGGAACCCTGAAATAAGAACACCAAGCCCTTTAGGTCTAACTGTCCATCTCACAAACTCTGACCTGTAAGTTTCCATGTGGGGGAGAATGCACCCATCTGACCAGGCCAGGGAGTCCGCTTGCATTTCAGAAAGGTGTCATTTTAAATTGGTAAGGTAGCATTATAGGAGTTGAGTTTTCATGAGTGTATCCCAGATAGACTTCTCAGTTTCCCTAAAAGCACAAAATCATTCCTGGAGTACTGAGGACTAGGTCCCAACTTTGCCGACCCAGGTGAAGTGTCATCCTCAAGAGGCCTGCCATGCCCCCGCTGGGCACCCACCCATAGATGCCATGTCTGCTCTGTGACTGTTGGAGGGCTGGGTGCACATGTTGTTTGCCACCCATCAGGATCTCCCTTGCCCTGAAGTTTAGTTTTTATTTCATAGACTAAAATGAGCTCAGATTCCAAGAGAAGTAGGAAAATGAGTGCTCATTATCTACATTAGAAATTGTGAAGTTATTTCTCAGAAAGTGAAACTTGATGGACCCATAAAAGAATATTATCTGTGTGGAGAATACTTCAGAGTAGAATAAAGAGCATGGTAAATGATTGACTGACATAAATATAGGTGTGCCTGCAATATATATTAATAAACAGGGCCGTAATATTAGGGACCAGAAGCAATCTATTTCATATTTAAAATATCAAGTAAAAACTATCTCCACAATTATGAATATTTAAACAGTATTATTGCTTCTCAATATATAACACATGCAAACATACCACATCATTTTTATTGCCAAAAAGGAAAAAATAATTAAAACTATAAAAAGCTGTTCTTAGTGTCATTTTAATGTCTTTGTTATTGCCATTTATCTCTGAGAGATAATATGAAAAAGAAAGTGAGAAATAATGCATCAGTAGATGATAAATTTTATTCATAGCAAACTGTTTTAAAAAATCACTGTTGCTTTTTATGCAGGAGAATGGCAGGGAAAACAAGAAAGACATATCTGTTATAAATGCCTGTTTCATATTTACATCATTTTAAAAGCAAGGGTTTGCTCCTTCCATCAACTTTTCAATTTAGTTTCCCTCTTTGTTTGATTTTTGTCTTACCTATTTTCTTAAACTTAGGAAAGAATTTTATTCATTTCAATGAATGCATGCATGAAGGAATTTCCAATACATGGTTGCATTGTGGGTACACATACAGATCATTCACTCACGACTGTGACAGATTAGGAATATAGTTCAAAGACTGGGCTTCTTATCTCCTCAAGTGAAAACAGTAGAATGAGAGGCCGTGAAGGTAGGGGATTGACAGTTCAGGTCTTTAAAAGCCACATTAAACTAAGATTACTGAATGGCCTATGCTTTGTACTGAACCTCACCTCAGACTTGCTTGTAAATGAGACAGGAGGCTAAATTCTTGAATAGCTGACTAGGAGAAATGATGGTGCCTCTCTAGGTTTAGATAACCAATTCATTGCAGCATCTCCTTTTCTCAGAGTGTTCCAAATAAGACCATCACCATCATTTCTCAAGCCATTGGGGAACAGTCTGTAGGACAAATGACAAAGTTCTGGGGAATGTCAACTTTCCACTGTGATGGATAAAGCAATTTTTTGAAATGAAAAAATGAACTTTAAATAAAACAGAAATGCATGCTTTGGGTGTAAAATGTTTCTTGACATACTAACTGAAAACAGCGTGATATAACATTGTGTCTCCAACAGTGTATGAGATAAAAGAGAGAAAAACCCACACATACACAAACACAAAAAGCTACATTATTAGAAAACAATAAGAGGAAATATATAAGCAGTGACTGGTGACTGCATTAGACTCATAGGATTATTTCTTTTTTCTCTTTTTATTTTCCTGAACTCTAACTTTTCTTTTATGAACCTGTATTGCTTACATAATAATGAGGTGAAAAGAAAGCCCTGTCCTTTGGAAATG